TGGTAAGTTATTTTGACTGTTAGAAAAAAAAAAAACACAAATAAAAAAAATAATAATAATAAAAATATAAATCAAAGTTATAAATCAAAAATGTATTTCCTTAATTTTCACCACTGTTACTGTGACTCACTGTCAAATGCAAAAAATAATTTGAGATTGAGTTAGTAACACTCAGGGCATAATCATAATAATCACAGGGCATGATTGCTTCATTATTGCTGCTATATTTGTTAGTGTCATGTTGCAACTTCAGGCCACGCACTCATCAGCGTCAGAATTGTTGCTATAAGTATATAAGATTACATGAGACTGACCAAAAATGAGTTGCAACAAATTGAAATCAGAACAAATTGTCTACAAAAACTAGTACTGCAAGTCATTCTTGGCTAAATTCAATGGTTCTCCTATTTAAACATCAGTAATTAACAAAGCAACAATAATTAGAGTTGTAAAATAAAGACACACAGATACTATAAACAGGTAAACAGGACAAAAAAATTGACCATTCATATAGAGTTTTAGAATGGCCTTGATCTATATCAGAACAAGTCAGATTATAGAAACTACTATTACTTTAGTTAAGAATTGTCTAAAAATAATACACTGAAATCATGTTTGAACTCACAGTATCATGAAAGCACTATTATCTATATATTTATTAATATCTGCTGCAGGCCAATTTTGTACTCACTGGTTTCCCTCGGGGGTGGTGGGACTCTCCTTGCTGGTGGGGCGGGCGCCTTCTCGGGCTCACCTGATTGTTGTATTTGCTCTAAGTTATCTTGACTCGTAGATGTCCAGATTCGTGGTGGGACCTGCGGCATTTGGTTCTGTTCCGCTTCATCAGGAGGTTTGACAGCAAGTTGCAAACTGTCAGTTAAAGAAGTTGAAACATCAGTACTCGATAAATCAGGGCAAACATCTTCAGTCTCCAAGTTGGCATTTGGGCGAGTGAAAATCCAAAGCAGGCGACTAATTCTATACATTCTTAGGTACTTGAAAGCGTTCTTAAAATTCACATTACTGCCAGTTTAGCTTGACGAGTGGGATAAGTTTTAGTCCTAGAGTGTGTCCCACTTGTAGCAGCACTGTTCTCTTCCTGATTGTTGAGTCTTCTGTCACTGCTGATGTTATGAGCTGCATGTTTAAACCTGCCCATCTCCTGGAGACTCTAGAGAAAGCCCTGCAACCCCTGCATACCTCTGGATTCTCTCTAAAAGGACATGTAAACAAAGTATGTGCTAAGAAGGCACTAGCTTTAGCATTTCTACCTGCTAGTCAACCCGTTTTTAGACAAGATTCCTAGAGCAATGCTGCAGCAACCCAGACCTTTTATTCATAACACTGTAAGAAAGATAAGACAAATAAGATGTGAGGAGGCCTTTAAACTTCCTGTGGCATTTCAAAACTATTTATTTCTTTTTGTTGTTTAATGATGCAAAAAAATCTGTATATCTTCCATTAACCAAACAAATACTACTGCTAAATACGACGTTTCATTTCAGTTCTATTGGTACAATGTTAAATAGCAGTATAATTTATTAACCACAGTGTATTTTAGCCCACCTCATTAATTATAAATCACACCAGCTTCAGTAAAAATATGACTAAACTGCTGGGAAATTCAAGAATGACAACACAGTACTCATGTCTTCCCTGCATCTATTGTGAAAGTTCCTCTTACCCCTGCTTATGTGCATTTGTGTGCTAATAATGCAAGTAATCAATTTTGAAAGTTTGTGCATTATGCTATATATTTACTGAAAAAACTTTATCAAACTTTTGGTTCACTGTCAATAAGAGACGATGGCCTACAATACTATTCAACAGTGGCAGTAAGTTATGTTGCCTGCAGCTGACATACAAGTATGTCATGTCTATAAAGGTAGTAGGTCATGTCTATAGATCGGGTTTAAGAGCCCTTTTTAAATTATGTAAATATATACACCAACCAACCACCCCACAATGACAGGAAACTAACCTGTTGACAGAGTTCCTGCTTTTAAACAGAGGAAGAGTTTTCACAACTGCAGCCTGCTATATTTAACCACAATTGTAATACAAGTACACTTACACTGTACACAAAGAGAGTCCAGACACAATGGACCACTAAAAGCATTTGCAGAACAGCTAAAACAATAAAAAATACAGATGTTTTTCCTTACAGCCACTTGTATATAGCTGAGATATCTTTGTATTACTACTTTTCTATAATAAATTTGTACTTGTAGATATACATTTATATAATTATGTCTGATTTGACACCTGTCTCTTGCCATTTTTGGTACTTGCTAATTTATTATTATCATTGATATATTTACTTTTTTTCTTATAATTAAATGTGATGTGTGAGCTACTGTGTCCAAAACTATCCCTTGTGGGTCAATAAAATTAGTCTATATCTAAGATAGTAATTCCATGATTTTGACCAGCTATAGAAAGATAAATGAATGCTTATGCTATTAAAGAATATTTAAATTGCCTATGTTTGAATTTAAGTCTTTTTTTAACATACCTAGACTACTGTACTAAGCTCATTACGAGACAGAACACTAGACACTGCATATAAAATAAAGGATTGTGCCAAATACAGACCTACTACTATCAACTACAGGTTACATCATTCTGAGAGGGAAAAGTATGGAAAGTGAACAGTTTCTTTAAAAATATAATTGGCTACCAGAACGTTAACATAAACAATAAAACACTTCCTTGTTTTAACTAGGCCACAGTGAAAAAGTGATGACCAATACAAAAATATAATGCCAACAAGAGTAGTGCTGAGTCAGTCAATACGTTAGAAGCCATAAAATAATTCAAGCATTACCTGCCCAAGCATGTTCAAAAGCAGAGCTCCCTCCATAGTGAGGCAACAAAATTTCAGCAACACACGGTCACAGTACCGACAGTAAGGACAAGGTGACGAGGAAACAGGCAGCTAAGCAGAAGATGGGAGGAGACAAACAGCCCCGAGCCAAGAGTTAACTCAACAAACTCCAAATACCACGTGTACTAGTCAACAGCCTCCTCATTGTTATGTATGTAAAAAGTGAGTTCCTTGTAGCCACGCACTGGTCCCCTTCGCTCTTGTTTCCTGTCACCACAGTTGACACAGGGGGTTTAGCTACTCTGTTGTTCTCCATTCAGTGGTGGAAGTACAAAAGTAAATGTACTATACTTAAGTAAAGCACACATACCTAATATTTGTTCTTAAGTCAATTTTACAGAGGACACTTTAAAATTTTACTTCACTATATTTGAGAACATGTATCTGTACTTTCTTCTCTATCTATCCTCTATTTTAGAGCTGGACTGAAAAGTAAAAAGGACTTTGAAATGGCTGAGACTTTTTTAGTACATTATATTTAAGTTTCCATCCCAACAGCTAACCAAATAGAGCTAAATTCTTTCTCAAAATTACATTTCATCCTTTAATTGTTCTTAAAATCTCTGCTAAATACTTGATGCATTTTTAAACAGGAACTTTAATACGTTTACTTTTACTTGAGTAACTTTTTGCCCCTGTATCTGCACTTTTACTTCATCCCCCACTGACTCCATTCATTATAAGCTCCCACATATTTTCAACTATTTACTGAATTAGGTCTACAAGAATAATTGGAAATCTCACAGGCTGCAATAGGAATATAATAATGTCCTTTACAAACAACAAAATAATCCTTTCAAATTATTAGGCCTGTCATGACAATTACTATATCTACATAGATAGATGCATAGATAGATGGAATAATCATTTTTGGGGGTCAGTATTTATCATATGTACTTTTTCTTGAGCTGTTTAATACATAACTAATATGACTTTTACAGACACCAACAAACTAACTTTTCATTCTGCTATTTATTTTTGCAGTTTGTGTTTTTAACCATATATAACCATTAATTTTTGGGTGGATAATTCTACTTTAGGGTTATTGTGTGAATGGCTTAAATTAGTTTCAGTATTATCGTTTAATGTAATGTAATATTGATACTTATATAATATGTGAAACTCGTTAACTAGCAGGGAATGGAATCCTGCTTCTAAAAACTTAAAATGCAAACCTAATCATAATGAATCAGGATAATCTTAAAATTCACAATCAAATTATTTTAGAGCTAGTAAAAACAATACTGGTTATCTTTAAATGCAATTCACCATTTTGACCAGTTGATGGTAGTGTTGCAAAGTAGGTAGGCCTGTTAGACGGGCCAAGTCACTGTCTGTAAAATTTAGGTTAGTATTACATATATTTGCAAATACATATTATTTCATAACATTAAATGTGCAGAAATGACTTACCTATGAGGTTTTTGAGATATAGGTGTCCTCTGGGGCAGTGGAGGAGGGCCTTTGGGTGCTGATCCAGTTTTGGGAGGCAGAGGGGGAGCAACTGTGTCCTCTTTAGGGGAGGAGACGAGTGGCACGGATGAGCTCCTCCTTTTCCCATCATCATTACAGTTTGCAAAGTTCCTTGGCGGATATGGCAGAGTCTGAGTTTGGGACAGGGGGGAGGTGAGCTGAGTTGGTTGGACACATGGTTGGTCCAGTGTACCGACAGGGCTTTTGGATGATCTTGGAGCTCTACTGGGTACCGCTGGCATCGTCTGCAGCTTGTCTCTGCGCGGAGAGATTGGAGGTGGATTTTCAGGGTAGGTGAATGGTTGTGGGGGGCAGTTGGGGGTACTACGTGGCGGGACAGGGGGCAAATCGAGCTCAGTTGAAGTAACATCTGGAGCTACAGGAGACACCAGAGTTACAGGGGCTACAGCAGCACTAGGGCGATACTTAGTCCTTTGTTTTGGTACCGGGCGCTCTCTTTTGCCATCTTCCATCAATAAACTTTGCCGCAAAACCGGCTTTCTGTCAAAAACTTGCCTTTGCCTGGGTACCGGCTTATCCATCAGGTCGTCTCCTTGTCTTTCTCTTTTCTCCTCCTCAAATGTAAAGTGTTGGTCTTGCTGTAATGGCGATGTCGTGTCACAGTGGGAAAGAGTTTTACTGAGGCTGGAGAGGATACGCCGCTGGTGTCCCGGCAGGTTGATGCCCATCTGCTCCAGGCTTTCTTGTGTCAAGGAGCGACATTCTTGTAGTGTTGTCAGCCCGGCACTGAGAAAAACCTCCTTGTATTGCTCAAGACGGAGCACGTTCAACCAGTCTGGCAGAGTTATACAGGAATCAGACTCAGACGTCATGTTGAAGAAATTAAAGTTCACTGCATTTTATGGTTCACCTTACACTGTTGAAAGAGAGAGAAAAAGGGAAATACACAGTTACGGTAATAGGAAAAGACCTCACACTCTGTCATGCCTAGGTGGGTTGTGTTTTTAAGCAATCACACTAAATGATCTTTAAAAAGGAAGAAAAAAGTCTAGATAATTTTGGTTTCCTCTTCATGCAAAAAGCTTTCACACAAACTTTTCAAAGTGAGAAACACTCCAACATCTCTAGTTGTCACATTATTGCATTAAATTTGGAACTATAGGTGGGTGATACAAAATAAACCAGATGATAAAAAGTCAAATATAGAATTATGAAAAATCTACAATGGGTCATTTACAATAAAAATACAGGTAAATAACCAATTTTTGTTTTTTTAATTAATTATTTTTTTTTTTATAAATATAAATAAATACAGTGAAATGTATTCAAACTTTATACATCAACTTGATGTAATTTAGTGCATATCCTCCATTCATCAACGCTGAGATGCTTCTAATCAGCTCTTTCATTACAGTTTTCCTGTTGTAAAATCTACAAGTTGGTTGTGATTCACTACCCAATGTGATTTGTCAGAGAATTTCTTTATTAAGAAAGAGTTAAGGCTGACTCTGGCTGAGCTCCCCAAAGCACATTTGGAGAAGGGAGAAAAACTTTACACTGCTCTGATTCTTCTAATAACAGAGATTAATTAATTATAACAGATGGTTTCTCTTGTTTTCCTGATTAGTTACAAAATGCATTTGAAAGTAAAAATTCCTCTTACAGAAATGTCACAACAATAGAAATGGGTTTGCCTCATTAGCTGACGTTTACTCTGGGCTCATTTCCAAATCACATGCTTTTACTGTCACAAAATGTATTTTAACTTTCTACAATGTTTTAAAGTTCCCTCATCGAAAACATGCCTGAGGGGGTTTTAGATGTCATCCATGAATGTTTGAGCAATTTACAATCGCTCCTGGATCCTATTCAAACCCCCTTACAGATGCAGTAGCTGTATGACTCTTCCACATGCTTCCACATGACAATTAGCCATAAATATAGCATGATACAAAACTGTGCACAACAACATGCCAAAGCCTTTCATGCAATATTTAATTTGACCACAACACAGTCCTATATAAACTGTCCAGCTTCCTGTTAAAGGCAACACTGAAGAAGACTCCCATTCAAAACATAAGACTCTGGTTTAAACTGTTATTTGAAATGGCAACGGTCCTGATTTTTCATCATTCTTCAACCCTGAGAATAAAGACAAAGCAATGTACATTTACCACTGCATTTGAAGGCCTTTAAAGCTTGTTTTAACTACTTGAACATAGTGTATGTAGTGCATACATTTTTTTTATTTTTCCTAAATGATCTGGTAACCCCTGAAATCATTTAGATCTTCCCAGGTGAACTATGTCATGGGACTATGTTATCAGGAAAATCTCAGAAAATAGGGAAATACTTGAATAGTGTTGTGGAAGAAGACTTCGTTTGTACACACTGATGAATGTTGAAGCAAAGATGCAGAGTTTATTTCTTGCAAGAAATAGGTCTGACAGAACAACAAGCAGTATGTCCCTCTGACGTCAGACCTCGAATGATACAAGCACCAAGTTTATATAGGTTGAGATGACCAGAGGACATACATTTCAATGTGAGAAGGTGACGACTCCTACTGAGGTGTGGCCAGATGTGTTTCCTGAGCCGGATGTCACATGTGGAGTTAAAACAATAGGAGAGACAAAAGTCTGAAACCCAACTGCTTGATCGGATTTGCATCCATATTCACCTGCCTTGATCACTTTCTGATCAGCTTGCTTCTAGACAAGTTTAGTAAGCAAAAGGGAACAGAAGCATTTACATTTGAAGGGTCAAGGAAGCAGAAGCATTTACATTGAAGGGTCTTTCCCAACTTAATGAGTTTCAGTTACAAGACCAAATGTTGTTTCTAAAAGACAAAATAATCACACAATATTTTAATTTCCTTTACAATAGCAAAGAAGATGTTCAGCTCTTTTTGATTTTTATTAGTTAGAGCTAGTAGCACGTCTAAAGAGGAGACTGTTCTTCACTTTAGACACAACACATCAGTAGCACTATCACTTAACACACAATGGTGTAAAAGGAAGTGCATGTGCAAGTGTTAGTTTTGTGTCTCAGAACATTTCATTACAGGAACAACTTCACTCTGAATGCATCTACAAAATAAACATGGTTGATTACAGATTGTAAAACAGCACATTACTCGTGGTGTCTGATCTTTAAAGAGATGCTTCGGGTTTCCCACTGCAGACACAAAGAACAACACAAACGCAACACACCACTTCATCTCATGACCATGGAAATTGCATTCACTTGTGGTCATTTTACAGTGTGTCTACTACACATGACTACACACAGTCAAATGTATTGTTTAAGAGGTATTGTGTGACCTTTTGTTTAAATCACACATAATGGAAATAGTGCTCAGTCCAATCACTTTTCTTACAAGAGACGTCCTACAGTCTAGCTCACTCAGACCACAGTTTCACATTTGACACCACTTTTTCATCTGAAACTGAGAGACACAAAGTAATATAGTTGTAAAAACATAAGGCTACCAGAGTTGTAAAGTGGAAACAATATATGTTGGCTATACATTTGTACAGAGGTCAGTACCCAAATGGAAAATGTATTGTAGAAAGTAAATGGCGTGACATACTTAAAACTTAAAATAGACACTATTAGTTAAAATAACTGTTAAGAACAACATTTACAAAAAAAAAAAACTATCAACATGTTTCTCTAATGACCTCTTGTGGCAGTTGTTAGTATCTAACACTGGAGCCTTAAAAAGGGGCATTATGTGAAATACTTTTATGAACTCATGATTAGCTTAGTCAAGACTTGTATTTCCATGGATTCACACATGTTTGAGTCACCTGTATTGTCTTGTATTTGTGGCTTGAGTACCCCTAAAATTTATATTTTCACCTACAACCACTAATTTGTATTTAATCGCAATTATTCAAAAGATTCAAACTCCAGGTCATACATGTAGGGTTAAAAATGTCACAGCCATTTTGACATGAACAACATGAAATGAAATCTGCTGATTGTTCTAGAGTTTTGAACAGGAAGTCAAAGGACCTCTTTCTATTATTGGGAAGTTTTATAATGAACAAAATGTAAAATAATGATCTACCTATGTTATAAAATATTCTTGGATGCTGTTTTGGGCAAAATATGTGCTTAGGTTATTTGGGGTACAAATTTCAAACCAAAAACCAAGGTCCCACACACAGTCTCCTTATTTTTTTTTTTTTTTTTTTTAAAAGGGAAAAAAAAAAGGTTTGCTTACAATGTTTTGGTCAAATGACATTCATCAGGTATATCAAGGTTTAGTCAAGCAAAATGTTGTAAATGCTTTGTGTGAGAACTTTTAAGTATGTGTTCTCTTCCACATGTCATCAACTCAGGAATGCAGAATTGTTGCTCTATACCAAACAGACTGCTAAGTAACCAAACTTTTCAGTTGGTGAAGATAAAAAAAAAATGTTACCAATCATTTCCTGTCAACTGTTTCCTCCTTAAATAGTTGACCGCACCGGGCAGAGTGAGAATCCCAACACTTTACTTATCAAACACAGTTCCTATTTTTAAAATCAGGAAGTAGTTCAGTATAATAGTTTATGTCTTAATGGGCTTAGAGATCACTGAAGCAAATAAAAAATAAATGTGTCCTGGATCAAAGATATAATATAAAACGGTTTGTTTATTTTAAATAATCATAAGTTGAAATCATAAATACATGTCAATAGTTTAGGGCATTTGTGAAAAAGGAAACTCAAAATGCAGAAGAGCATAAGTGTGAGGGTGGTTAATGAGATAGCTGTCTATAGGCGCTAAAATGGAATTTTTTTTAATCTTTACACCAATTCTATACCACCAGTTTTCCCAAGTAATTTTCAATAACAATAATTTTCTTTGCATTAAATCGTAACGATTTTAATCTAATATCACTACATTGCTATTAAAGGTTTATGTTTTTAAATGAAGATTCTGTTCATAGTATAAATTTTAAACAGATCCGGCAGGCGCAACAACATTTGAGAGGATATAAACTGATAATAATAACTGCTACAAACACACATTTCAAAACATGTCTGTAGGGGTCTAACCTACAGAGACTACATATAATATGACATAATATTTTGCTGTTTGCAAAGGAAATCATGTTTCTTAAAATAATACACATTATGCTTTTTCCAGGTATTTAGCACGAAGCTATAGCATGCAGATCTTGAATATAAACCATAATATTGGCATAATAGAAACAGTTCGATTGAATTCCTGACTGAAACTGCAGAAATGAGAAGCCCTGTCTCTCCACAGCATTTCAACCTAGAAAGCTGTGGATTTTCAAGTACTCGCTTTTTTGAAAATTTGCTACATGACATTTTTGAACCCTACATGTATGACCAAGAGTTTGAATTTTTGTAAGTACAGGGCTGTGGGTGTGGATAGGAGGCAGGTGAAAAGAAACATTTTCTTAGCACTCAAGTCTCGAAAGAAAGACAATGCAATTACTTTTTTTTTGTTTTTTTTTGGACTGCATACATTGCCATTATTATGTTTCAAGCATCCTAAACTGAGATATTAACCTTTTCAACTAACTGAAGATGAAACAACAACCCCAGGTATTATGTTCTGTTTTTACAGAGAAGTTACAATGTAGATCACCTCCTAAAAAACACCACTGGCTGACCCCACTTTCCCTTTCTGCTTATCCCTCATCTAGCACTCTCTTTCTCTCCCTCCCTCCCACTCACAAATCTGCCAATAACAGGGTCTCTGTGTGGCCTTTACAATGGAGCGGTCTGTATGGCCCTGGACAAGCGCACACTCACATACTCAGTGACAAGAGTAGGGGAAATGCATTGTGGGGCCCGCTGTTCACATAACACTCTTTGAAACAAGTGCTCACCTAATTATTTTGTTGACATCTTGGAAGGACTTGTTTGTTGCCTCTAATCCTCATTCAGGTCATCTGCATTTGGTAATCTTTTCTGGAACAAAATCAATCAGATTAGCATTTCACTGTGATGCTACATTTCTTTGTATGTCAAAGAGCAAAAAGACATTATAAAATGGTTTCTTCATCAAAATACTCTGAATTGTTTTTTATTCATGCATGTTTACAGAGGCTAATTACTAAGGCTGTATTTCTCATCACATTTTAATCGAGTACTAGATTCTGTATTTTGATTTTATTCGGCCTGCTGTCACCTGTCAGGGAAAGTTTGTGGTTTGAAGCAGAGTTCAGTGGTTGAATGGCAGTTATTAAAGGTCTGTATGGTGAGTTTATGTTAAGAAAATAAATACTGAAAGCCATTTTTGAAGCCAGAAGGAAATAAAATTGAAAATCAAGATAAATGAGGTGATTCATTATATCGCCCAGCCCTATTTCCTATCTTCGCCTATTGTTTCTCACCCCTATACTCCAAGAAGCACTGACCTAAAGCACTGACCTCGAAATCTGGGTCCATCTCCTTTCTATATCATCACTGTTTACATTTTAATATTTAACATTCATGCATGAATGAATGAAAGACAATGAATAACCCATATGTGAACATCCCATTTGTACGTGAGTTGCATATACTTTGTCAGAACAATGCACAACTAACAATGCAACAAAATTAATGTCAGAAACCAACTTCCTCAAAATGACAACACGTTAAAGGACGCTGACAACCTTTTTGTGCAAAAAATGAACATGCACATATTCCCAGACTGCATGCTCTCTACTCCAGATTTGACATTATCTTTGTTTCTTGATTTTCATAATTTAGTGGCAAGTTGGGAATGCACTTTACCAGTAGAGATAGGTCATCGAGAGGGAAGATCATATGAAAGTGGATGGAAATGGAGTAATAGGGAAATTGCACTATAGTACAAAGCACACCTCCAGCTCGGTCCTTGTTGACATTTGTTTGTAGATAGCTCCATCTGACCTACATCACTCATCAGAGGTTATAATACTCCCTACAATGGAAACATGGCCAGACATGGATGGACAATACTGCCATAATATGTTGAGTGTTTATATCTTCATGTCCTGTTTTGTGAATAAACTCTCTTCCCAACTCTCGAGATACTTGAATGATTTCTACAACTTCGAGTATCTACCGTATCACAAAATAGAACTGACTAACAATACAAATAAAACAAGCTTACAATATAATCTTTGAAATAAGGATTTAAAGTGACGTTTCTGCTCTTTGAAGTTCATTTTATAGTTTAGTTACTTTTGTGCTTTACATGAACCTCAGATGACACTCACGGACCAATTTTTGAAGGCTGCATGAAATCATCAGAATACGATGATCGGAATAACCCTCCAAAAATAGTGAGATATTCATTATTCTCAATTCTTCTCCCACCCTGATGTAAACAATAGTTCATTATAATAGAAACTGAATAAGCAGCAGTTAATAAGCAGCAGTTAATGGTAGGGCATTAGCAGAGATAAAGTGATTGATTATCATAAATGTGTAACAGCTTAAAAATTAGCATTTTTTTTCCAATCCAAGTTAAGGCTGCGAACGTAGTTTCACAAGTCTATTAGCTATTTTCCAGTCTGACCTCAGAGACCCTCCATGTTCTTCTGAAGGTATTGACAAAGGCCCAGTGGGAGCATGACTCATATTGCCTGCAAGTGACATACTCTTCTGTTCAGCCAATTTTCAATTAAACCACAGAATGACTCAGTGCTGCCAGTAAAGAAATGTGTTTTAGCTATGTCCTTCAAAGTCTCACTAACAGTGTCTTTACGCTTTCCATGGCAACCATCTTTTGTCACCTACTCCAACTTTGTAAGGGGTTCAACAATGATGGAAGTTACTTATTATATTCTTTTAAATGCCAGTGATCATAAATGTGTCTACATAGCCCCAGCCATTTAGTTAAGGGTAGTTTTTCCATTTCCTTTGCCCTAGAAGTACATACTTAAACATCTGCCAAGGCGTTGCACTATTTAGCAATAAAGATAAGATTAATTAAACTTGTCCATATCATGGACTCATAATATCATTGTTTGAAAATACATGCATCTCTGCAAACTTACATTCCTTTGCTAAAACTCTCTACAAACTGACTCACAGTGCACATTATCAAATGGATCTGAGACACAGGAAGACAACAAATGTAGTGGACACAGTAGATTTGAGAAGATATAGACATTTGCAGCCTACATAAATCAGTATGCTTTCATTTTGGGGGAAGTAAATTACCTGATGTGAAGGAATAGACATATTTCAAGTATTATTTATTGCTCCTGCTCAGATGTGTGGTGTTTCTTTTGCAGGGGACAGTAGAACTTATGCAGCAGAATAATGCGATGGCTCAGCATAACCATTTTCACAGTTCAGCCTCTTGTCCCTTTTGCTCTGGAACACTGCATTAGGTTGTCCTGTACATCAACAATTTATACACTGCTTATCGAAGAGGTTTACACTATGGCAAATTATAGTGTGTAGAAATTGTAAAGAATTCCTAAGAAGTTAATCATGTTAAATTAGTAGGTCATACACAATAGTAATCGTCTTCATATTAGCCATTATCGGTCCTACAGGTTAGAGTAGGCCTTCAGACAGCTGGTTTAGTTAGTTTTTGTAACATTTTCAAATAATTTCCCTTTATTTATGAAACTGCATCATGGTATACACACAACAAATGACCAAAAAGTGAGTTATCCAATATTTCGTAAGTGTTCTTCCACCACATGACATATACCAAAAGAAAATTTATTATGGTGAACTTAACTCTTAAATAATGGGAAGTAAAACGCCTACATTAGTTAACAAATATAGGCTAATTGAGTAAAAATGTTTCATGTGAACAAAACTGGGTGAGGCCAATTTAAGATAGAATGTTTCCTCCATAATTATTCTCATTCATCGTAACCCGATTCTGTCAGTCAGTAAAAATACATATTTTTGTTTCCATTCTTTCATGTTAGAAAAGTAACTTGTCACATCTTGATAGGCATAAGGATAAAAGGCCTACAAAAATAATTATCAGGTAGGCTTATCTGATGATCTGTCCATTCTATGTTAAGCTTTTCTAATGTAACTTTTCTGTTTCATGAACCAAACTACTCCACATCACATCATTAGAAATGCACTGTAGCCAGACCAGAAAGATTAAGAGCACTGGATTCCAATGCGGATAAACAACTATAAGACATCAATGGTTCTGGGGAGTTCATATTAAGAGGATAAGGAGACTTCAAGAGAAAAACACCTACTATGTCCATCCTGTTACCATTTCCTCCTTTTGATTAAATAGTAAACTGATCAAAGGAGAACAGGTAAAACTCTAACCACAAATGTTCCTAAAATCAACTGTTGAGTCTTTGATGCTTATATGTTATAAATATATTTAAAGTCAACTTGGCAAAGGGTTAATGGCTGGATGTTACCCGGACAACAAGTATCCAAGCTAAACAATCCATCTAGAGTTGTTTGTATCCACTTTTAGACTCGCGATTGAAGCATACAAAAGTTTTACGCGTAAAGTTGGATGCGTTAGATTTTTCTTACCTTTCACTGTGAGTCACGTTTAAGGTTTCCAGTGAACGACCTGCGGTGAGTGTCTGGTTAGAAGTAGCTTTACACACCAACATCAACGCCAAATATAGCGGATAACATTTTTCTCACGAATGAAACAGAAGCAACACCACAGTAAAAAGCTAGAAAGAAGTAAGAAGTGATTTTCGGTTTGGTTCTTTCAAAATAAGACACTTCGACGAGGTTTCTATAAGTGGGGGTTTTATTTTGAAAGTGGAAAAATAAAACTGTTTGGCTTTCTTTTTGAGCAGCATTTGAGGGCAAAGATTGAGCCTAATTGTGAAAACTTCCGTCAGGCCCTCATGTGACCATACTAAAAAGGACAAAAGTGGACTTTCGGACTGTCCACTTTGTTTGTATGAAAACAAGGTTGTAAATAACATAGTTTATCACCTGAATTAGATTCCCAACACTGATACTGCACATAACAGACCTACTAATCACACCAACCTGTTGCAGCCTAAATAGGTCACTAGAGCTCTTTATCATCATATCTGTACACACACTGGCAGGCAATCTTGCAAAAACTCCGTTTATTTTTACTGAAGAGATGTTGATGTGGCAGACATACTCGAGAATATTCACAACCTCAAATGACTGCAAGATCCCTTGGGAACCACTAGGGGGCATCCAGTCACTGCTTAGAAAAAACTCACTAAAGATTCAATTCAAGCAGCATATTTTAAGGTAGGCCCAAATTAGAATATAGGCCTACCACTTTTGGTGAAGTCAAAGTATAGACACACAGATGCTAAATAATACTGTGGTGTAACAATATGCTTTTGACCCATAGAGCTGTTAGATAACTTGAGTGTGGTGCAGTCTATTCCCAAATGTGCCATACACTAGGTTTCTGACATAGACGCCAGTTCCCAGTAGCACAATGAGCCTGAGTGAACATTATGCCTGCTCTATAACAAATCAATAAAGTAGACGTTGTGTTGCGCTTTTACTACTGACCTGGGGCAACAGTGAGAAGATTGGATAAAGACATAGCAGTATACACAGTCTTAAGACTTGTTCTATGGGGGAAAGTGCAGCAGCCTAGGTAATATGAAATAACCAATGTAATAATGTGCATCATTATACTGACAGTGTGTTGATACTGAGCATGTTGATAAGTTTGCAATGGTTTATTTGAACATATTTCTCCAGAAGATCAATGTGTCGTAACTCAAAAATAATTATATGGCTCTACATTAATATTTCTCAGTGCTTGGGCCTGGCATAAATGACTTCCTGGTCTTTTAAGTAATCGGATCATCTGTATTTCTGAATGATGAAAGAAAAGATTAAGCTTCCAAGTAACATATTTTATTCAGCAGTGCAGAAGTACTTGAAGTTATGAGTCACAGGCATTTACCAAAAAGGTGAAAAAAAAAAAAGAGGACAGACAGAGGAGAGCATGAAGAGACGATAGAATATGGGCTAAAACGGGATGAAGGGAGAGGAGTGGGTGGGGCCGTGGTGAGTCATCAGCAGTCTAGCAGCAGCACTGGTGGGCCCGTGCTGTGGGGGTGGCACACATACACACATGAACGCACACATGTCACACACACATATACACACGCACACACACACACATAACTGCTCATGTCTGCTCCTGATGTGTAGAGCACCGCCCAAAAACACTAAAGGGCAGCCTGAGACTCACTTCACACTGTCATGCATGAACTACTGCAGCAAGCCTCTCCTGTCCCATGTGCATGTAATAATGATGACAGAAGGTGAGGACCATTACACCACTAAAGAGAGGGTAGCTCTGTGCACCATGGGGATCGATCCAGCTGTATGAACAAGGCAAAACAGCTTTACAGTACCAAATTATCATGTTATAAAGTAGAGACAGAATTGTATCTAAAACACTAGGCCTATTTTTGGAATATTCATGCTGCATTGGGGGACATGATGTCACTTCGCAGCCAGGAAGTTGTGGGTTTGATTCTCAACACAAAACTTTTAATAGATGGAGTCTGTATGTATTCCTGTTACTCTTGTCTGTTCTCAAGAGTACTCAGATATGTTACTAACACCCAAAATAATGTTTTGTTTTTTTTAGAATAATATATATTTTTAGAATACTATAATAATGAGTACGCTAAATTGCTCATCTCATTGTGGCTAATTGGTTTTCTGTGTTCATGTGTCAGCTGTATATCACAGTCCCATGTACCACATTGAAGGTTAAGGTACCTCTCCCTAGGGAAATTTGTCCTTCAGTGTTGCTGGGGCAACCTGTGGGTATCCATTTTTAATCTTGAGGTAGTCTTGGTCAAGGCCATAAGGCAACTTCTCATAGAAAAATTGCATGGAGACAAATATAATTTTTCTTGAATACCATATCTTTCTTGCTGCCCCCAAGAGGAAGTTGAGTTTGATTGCAATCAGAAATGATGCATGCCTGAAACAGCATGACAAAGTGTATGCTTACTTCCTCTATTAAATGTTTTTTTGTGCGCAAGGTTCTCCTTCTTGATTGTGTCTTAGGAGATAAGTGTGCCCACAAGCACACATGCCAGTAACTGAAAAACAGTAAGTCAATAAGCTGTATGTGGTCGGGCAGTTTAAGTTTAGTGAGTATCAGGGCAGTTCAGGTCAATGACTTTTCAGGTGAATGTCTTTTAACAAAAGCTAATCTATGCACAAAAATATGAAAAATGCACACTTCTGTTGTGAAATTCAAAAATCTTTATAGAATTTCATGTTAAAGTCTACATACATTCATACATCTCGCAAACAGAGGAGCTGAAAGAATGCTGAAATGTTTGTGAGACAAAGCTTCCAAGATGGGGATTACAGCTGCCCATTTATGATTATTAAAGATGATGGAAACAAATCATAAAACAAGGGTAGAGACACACCAGTGTTTTCAAGGATAAAGAAATTTATGTATGTTAAATTATATTTTAAGACGTGCACACATGTTGTCTTTTTCATGGACTACTATACCTGGAATTTAAAGAGAGGTAGCTAAACTTATAGTGATATACCTCTCAGGTAAAGGAAGTGAACTGTATATGATAACTTACATACAAGGAAAATCTGTAAACAGACACTGTAAACTCTACTGAAAATACAGTCTATTTTGCTATATTTTTCTGGATAGACTCCAATTACAAACGTCACTGTATCAGGCACAGGAAATGTACAATATGTTTCCCACTGTATGTAAAAAGTATTCCTGCAGCCTAAGAGGTTGTCTGTGAGTGCATCTTTTATGGATGTTTATTATGTATAAATTATGTATACAAGGAAAATATGTCTATATGTTTTAGTCTCTCAGCATAAAACCTGCATTTTTATGTACAGTATACAAGTATTTTCATGCCGACTCTAATACAGAACCTCATACCTGTAAATAATGGTATGCGTGTCAGACATGCTTGTATCCCTGCATTACACTGTGTACATGTAGTAGAGTAAGGGCTGTGTTAGTCACTGTCTTCTCCTCTGTCCTGGGTCTCAGCCAAGCTGCTCTCATCAATATTCTCCAGGCTCTCAGCACGCTGGATGCTAAGTTCCGACAGGGGAATGCTGGGTAATGTAGTCTGCTCAGGATAGAGCCAGGGTTTGAAGCCAGGGTTGTGTCTCTGTTTCCATTCTGCATATTTCAAACACGCTTTATTGATCTTCTTCATTGCCTGAAATGATAAGTGGAACAAAATATCTTTACATGCTTTTTTCCAGCATTGGAGTTTCAATTTGCTTTTTTTGTTCAATGTCTTCACATTTTTTGTTGATGATAGGTTGTGAATCTGTAAATGTTAAAAATCTTACTGTACTTCAGATTACTAATGCTTTTCTGAGAATTTCAAACTCATATAGCCTATGTATTCTGCCACTCCAGATGCAGTTATTTTTTTGTATTTTGTTTTGCATTCTAGTGTACCTGGGCGGACTACTAGAACATGTTCACAGCCACCCACACAGGGATAATAAAATGCTACATTTATTCTGCAAACTACTTACACTAGGCGCATAGAAGTGGGAAGACTTGTTGACCAGCCACTTGGGTAATGAACCTGCAAAATAAAATGTCATGGTAAACACTAGAGAAATAAATGGAAACGCTGAGCTCTGGCTGTTAGTGCCAATACATGCACTGTTATCTAGCCTTATTTTGCACAATTAAATTCTCCTCACCCTCCTCAAAAGTGTAAAACGATGAAGCACAGCAAGAGAGAGCACAAAACTGACTGTGTCCTTCATATGGTTACTATGGTGACCCATTTTGACATAAAGGAAGTTGAATGAATCATTCATTAAAAGTATGAGCATGTGATTATCACCTGGGTCAGTGAATGCATGTGTAAATGTGTGCTAAAGCCTTTATCTGGGAGAGGGAATCATTTATTTATCATCTGTTGTCTGACAATGAACACAAATACAAAACAGTGAGAGATCCAGAACTACATTCATACCATACTGCATACAACTGTACAACAACTCACACTTATGTAACAGATAACCCCATGTACTGGCAAATGTTGCACCGTTTTCCTTACAAACTCTTGTATATAGCAGATATTTTTATTAATTTTTTTTATTTATTTATTTTTTTACTTGTACACCAGTCTCTTGATCTATCTATCTCTATCTCTATCTCTATCTCTATCTCTATCTCTATCTATATATATATATATATATATATATATATATATATATTATTTAGATTTAGATTTTATTCATTTTATATTTTTTTCTCTTTGTTATTATAATATATTGTGATACTGTGTCCAAATAATTTCCCTTGTGGATCAATAAAGTCTGTCTGTCTATGCCCAAGTCTAAGAATATAAACAGTAATATTTAACAAAAAATTACAACCAAATAATAATCCATACTGACCAAAAAGAAGGCAAAACATAATAATAATACAAGAAAAAACTAAACAAAATAAAATAAAGAGAACAAACAGGTAAACAGGACCAACGTATGGATAGACACAGAGGTCATGGAGGGACAGGTAAAATGGATTATTTTATTTATTTACTGTAGTGGAAGAAGTACTCAATTGTGTTACTTAAATAAAAGTGCAGATACCAAATCGGACAAATACTCAAGTAAATGTAAAAATATCACATGAAAAAATCTACTCAAGTAAAAGTATTAAAGTACCCGTTTAAAAATCTACTTAAACAGTAAAAAGTAAAATTAAGAATTTACCGATTTTGAGGTCTTATGAGGCTTGAAGTATTGATTTTGATACAGATTTGTACTGAATGTTCCTCAACAGAAACAACTGAATCAATACTTTTTCCCAGATTTATATTTCTACAGTTTTGTTTGCTCAAATTATCAAAGTGTTAAACATAAACCTGAAAGCCTTCATAGCGGATTTGAAACAATAATAACTTTTACTTTTCAGTCCTAAAAATGTAGCAGAGTAATAAAAACAGTATACCTGCTCTCAAATTAGTGAAGTAAAAGTAAAAATTATCCAATGTAAAATGTACTTAAGTAAAGTACAAATTGCTAAAAAATGTATTTTTGTATTACTTTTATTGTGTTGTCTTCCAGCACAATATATTTATTTATTTGTTTGCCCATAACAATTGTGTGTGCTTTATTTACCTCGCGGATCAACCTGGGCCATGTACGTCAGGATGCAGGTGTTAGGCCCTTGACTCTGAATCATGTAGCCGGTCTGGAGGGAAACAGCTCGAACCATATTCTTTTTAGGAGGGTATTTCTGCAGAGATACACAACATCCCAAAATGACACTCATTATCATTCACTGTGGGTAATAACAGCAGTGTGTCTTGTCAAAGCCACTGTCACTGAGTGGAGCAGGGGACTTCTTAAAGTGTTGCAACTGTCACCGTTGAAAAGTCATACTGTCAGTGAAGGAAGTCATGACGCACAAACTCCCACCAGCAAACTTCAAATTAATTGTCTGGATCAAATTGAGGGATTGAGTCAGAGTGGCATGTCTGAAAGCATAAGAAAATGTATAGACTGTTTGGATCAATGGAAAGCTTATGATTAACTTTGCACTGCTCCCCACTAAATTTGGAGACATTGGTCTGAAAACAGGATGCAACTATTTATAAGACGGTAAGGAATACCTTATTCTCGTTGTAAGGGAATTTGTCCTCTGTATTTGGCCCATCATTCAAGAAGCCTGAAGACGCCTGTGATGGCCAATCACCCCAGAAACCCATCTCCAATTCATAAGCCAGGTTTGATCAGAAGTCACCTTAGTATGGAGAATTAGTCTTCTGTCTGCATGTTTAAGTTTAAGGTTGTATTTTTGGGCTTTTTATTTTTTATTTAACTTCAGATTTTTTTTTTTCCTGAAATAGCTTCTGTTTGATATTATCACTTTTCCACAAGTGTCAATTAACGGACTTGATCATTTCCATTTACGTTATTTTAAACACCAATACAGCAGTCCATGATTAGCCAGGCTGTAAAAGCCATTTCTCAGTAACACTTTCACTACTGCCTACTTTGACTATCCATCTGAGGTTATTATTCATGATGATAATGTGCAGAGCTGGTTAGGCCGAGCTAATTAGAGGCGGCTCTCTGCAGAGGACAGTGCACTGCAACATTCACCAAAGATCTTTTGAAACTACTTCATCAATGCTGCTGGCATACATACTGTATATTGCTGTATATTATGAATAAAATTACTTATAACGGATTAAAAGTCAGTGCCATACAGTTAGATCTCAGTTCAAATTCTTGTTAAAATCTAATGTGACCTTGGCTAATCACACAAAGCCAGGCACACAGGAGCACACACTGTTATGTTAGTAACTACTTATTGATGCAGGAATGCGGAAGGCAAGATGGGAGTCAACAGTCACATGAAAGACCTTATCCTTCTGCAAACATGATATTAGTGAGGGAAACTAAGGCATGGATGGCATGGATGTTTGAGACAGGCTGCAAGTGATAGATTTTTTTAAGATTATCTAAGTAATAAGAGAATTTGAGCTAAGTTATTTTTGTCTACCGATAAACTGATGATTTAATTTTGTGCTGTTCTACTTGGAAAGAAAAGACAAGCCATGAGCCAAGCTACAGAAATTGGGCTATAGTCCAATGTGATCTGATGAATTCTCAGTGTTCTCTGAGCATTCTGCTTGTTTTAGCCCTTGGCACACTCCATTTATTAAAGAGTACAGTGGGACAATCAAGAACAATAAAGGATCTATTATTATAAGCATGAAGTGCCATCCGGGCATATGAACCAGCAAGGGAAAGCTTTACTTCCTGGGTGGTGTCGCTCCATAAATTAGTGATTTTATAAATACTGCATTCTGACCTGCTTTATGGATTTAAAATATTTATGCTCTGTGTTGCAGTGGCCTTTCCCAGGATCATAGTTGGTATCCCACATCTTATTTTTACCTCCTGTGTAGATCTCTAATGGTTCTGCATTGACCATAGACAGAGAAGAGGCTCATTGGAGTGTACTCACAGAGTGTTTGACGGAGTAGTTCATAATAATGTAATCTCTCCCTATTGGCAGCCAAGAGCGCAGTGTGATGACGTCACGGTTTCGAACGGGCTTTGGACACTTCCCTGTTAACAGCAGAAGGAGAATTCAGTGAACACATCAGAGCGGTTCAGGGCTTGTGCACATGCACATTCATGTTGAATGAAACCCACTCATGAGAGTCTAAATGATTTCCTCACGGTTGTGTAAGTATAACATACATGCATAGTAGCCAACATCTGCGTTGACCGTGAGTTTCCCGATGTCAAAGGTCTCTATGACGTTGGTGTCCCACTTTCTTCTGTATTCAATATCATGGAGCACATCATACATAGTCTCTGCAGACACATCCTTGCATATCATCCGGCACTGAAAAGAAAGGAAAAATACAACATTTTATATAAAAGCTGTGGTATAAATCAATAGTGCTGTTAACATGTACAAATATATTTGTTAAAATAATAATTATCTTTTTTGCTTGGCTGTACGAATTACCAAACTACTAAGATATTTGTGTGTCACCATTTATAACCAAGGGGCCATGGGGACTCCTGTTAAAGTCTATCCAAAAGCAGACAAGTAGGAGAGGTCTGCAGGGTAAAGCTGTTGCTCCAGCTACAACAGCCCAGAAGGGATTAGTCATAGTAAAAACAAGAGGGGCAATGTTCAGTCACAGGCAGAGTAAGACAAGAGACAGGAGAGACACACACAGAGACAAAATGTGAAATCATTGAAAAGCGAGTACCAAGGATTCCCATCAATCACAGGGCCTTTTCATCTAACTTTTAATTACACATCCCTATTAAATAATGAACTATTCATTAAAAGTATTTTTAACACTCTGTTTGTATAGAGACTTCTAGAGGTAGAGTGCAGTCTGGTTGTGAGAAGAAAAAGAAAACCCCATCTACTAAGCTACTACTGCTAGTTAATAAGTAGGAGCAGTGCCTACAGTTATACATATACTGACAGTAATGCTATATCAACATTACTGCAGAAAAAAAAAGAGAGAGTCCCCTTGGACCTGACATATAAACCCACTGAAATAAAAGGAAAGCTGAACACACATTTCCTCTCAATAAAAGACTTCGCAATAAAGCTGAGGACAAGCAAACATAGATAAATTACAAAAGGAAGTATGGTTAATCCCTCAGTCATTCAGGTATGATCCAGAGCAAAAGAAAAGAAACAAATGTAGGGACATAGTTTGTACCAGAATATTCTGGTAAATAGTCTGTTGTTCCAGAAGAAGTAACTTGAACAGCACTCAAGAATACATGACAAACTGATAAGATTTGAGGACAACGGAAACTCTACCCGATTGTTCTTGTAATGTTACGATGTTACTTGTAAAGACTTACTACAACAAAGAGCGCGTTCACACATGACGCATCATCATACACCTGGACTAGGACACAACATTTTATACAGCATGTACCAATAGATGGAGACTTTACCAAACTTTATTAAGTGAAACTTTATTAAGGTTACTGATACTGATACACAATAGATCAGTGTTGTTTGATATATTTACAAAAGTATATTTTGATTCTGCCTTCAGAGCAATGAAATGTGTCTGTTGTCTGTAGGTCTGAATTATTAACATAAGTGTATTTCAGAAAGATGGAGCATGTAGTGGTATTACAAAATAAAGCTGTGTAAAGTTGTAAAATACCTTGTGATACTGACTGACTCCATGTACTTTAGACATCCCGTCTGTCACTGTGTTTAATTTACTTTTTGCATCAATCGTGACAAAAACTTTACCTTCTTGGTAAAGAACTGTCAAAGAATTCTACCTGGACCTGAACATGCCCACTCAAAATGAGTCATGACGTTTGACCACTGCCTTGCGCCCACCTTCTTAACTCTCATTTCTTCTTGGTTCTTGCCTGACACTGCGCACCTATCCTCCGCCTCTTCCCCTGTCAGCTTTGATCACTAGCTCCTTTGGGGCTGATACGAGATGGTGGAAGATGATTATGAAAGGGAAAAATCAGTGGGTGTGTGTGATTCAGCACAGGGCTTCCTCTGTGTCAGCAGCAAACATAGGAGTCTCCGCTGTTTGGAGTAGAAGAAACTCTAACAATCTGCTGCCTACACAATAACAACACATTGGATGGTGAATAGTCAAATGATGGTAGTGTTAAGAAAAGGATTGTAAAGTGATATTAATAAATTTGAGCTGCATCAAATATGGCAAATTAGCATATTTGTCTGGTAATGTTCTTCCTTTGTTTTCAGATTGCCACAAGTGAGTAGCTTTTTATACCCAACCCCAGCTGGTAAAAATCAGACAGACTTATATAATGGAAAAAGGTAGTGTGAAATGTAATGTAGTGTAAATTTTCATGTCAGTTCCAAAATGAAAAGTCGATTCTGCCGTTTTAAATAATCTGACAATATTGCATTACCACCTATGGTTCCTCTAATATTTCGCAGCTCTATCCATAATCAGTTCCTTGTGTATAATGACTACACTAACACAATGTGATACAATATTAGTATTGATGATCATAGCAACACAGTAATGACAAGAGATAATGAACCCACTAATAATAATGTTGGTTTGTGACAGTGTATTAACGTTTCTCATTTGCATTCAATAGGAAGTACAAGAAGGGAAGCTGTCAACTCCCAACATTATTCATTTGACATGCATCAGCAGAGATGCATGCTTTTATTTAATCTATAAATAGAACAGCTGTATCTGCAGCATCACGTTCACGCTCACACAACACCTACAAACATGTGCTAGTAAACTACCATCAAAAAAGGAGTTGAAATCTTCTCCTCCATTTCAGATTTATATTTTTTTATTTATTTATGTCCATATTTATAGTAGAGCTTACCTCCAAACTCAAATCAATCAAAATGAATGTGATGATGATGGTATTTCAAAGAATTACAGAAAAGCTCGAATTGGGCTTTCAAGTTAGCTTTTGGATTAAGTGTAAAGTAAACACCAAAACTAGGATCTAGCCGTTTCCAGAACATCCACTGATCCTGTTTTCATTGGCCCATTTACAGTTGGTATTGGCCACACCCATGTTCGCCTGTGTACCCTCTTCCCTTCTGTCTTGTTTACAGAGCTGTCATGAAGACCCACACCAGTCTATTCCTAAAATTAAACAAGAAACACCTGTAGGCTAGCCACATAAACGCTGGCATATACCATATTACCCAGGAGTAGATCCAATGCACAGCCTCTGCAATTAAAAATGCAAACGAGTTCATTGAGCACACTTTGTTAGCTTTCAACTGACACTGTGTTAACAAGTAGAAACCTGATCTGGTATGGCCACTGGTTAGGAAAATTATTCACACAACAAGAACACCATTATTTGACAAGTAAACATTTGCGGGGGCTTCCAACCGCTCTTTTACAAACATTTAAGATGAAGCCAAATAAAGTCCTTACAAAGTCCTTTATCTTTTCAGGCAAAGAAGTGCAAAAAAATGTTGAAATGCTGAATTGGTGGCAATATAATGTAGATATACAGCTTTGGTTCCAGTGTTTGGTTCCAGCTCTCTATTGTAGCAGTAATGTCATTGACAGACAAATGAGCCTGTGTTATATGGTTACAGGCTATCATTAACCATACAGTTGTTCTAATAAAATCTAAATGGGTTAGATAAGCTTTCTCCTTGATTTACAGCCACAGTTTTTGCCTACAATTATGTATGGTTTTCCAGACAATAATTTTAATATTTTGCAATCCATGAGAAATGTACCGAAATATGTTTGTAAATGTTGTGGCCAAGGTTAACACCCTTTTATCGGAGACAATATGCTTTATACAACTAGTTTACATACAATGAAAATCAGAACAAACATTATGACCTTTGGAACAATTGCACAGAAGACCTTACCAGTTGATTGTGTACCACTCTATGCCACTTAAAAAAGAAGTTTAAATGTTTAACTCTGGGCAGACAGCTTCATCACGATACTTAATGTGTGCTTCCTTTTGCTATATTTATAAATATGAACTGGGTTGAAGATGATGCTATGACAGGAACAAAGTGTAGGCCTAATAAACTTAAGCTTCAGCCAACACATTTTGAGTCTCTGCATGTTAAATAAAATATGAGTGTTTGTGGTATAATGTCATAATATACCTGTGACCAAAATGATCTAATCAGTAAATTTATTTTGGCATCTCTCAAAATTATTATCTTGATTGTATTTTGATCCCAGTTTAATATAAATGGGTTATAGGACACATCACATACAAATGACTAAATGCACACAGCACAGCATAATTTTGATAGCTGTTCGCTTTCACATTGCCTCCCAAGACAAACATTACTGCTTAAAACTGCCACGACTGCTATTTGCCTATTGATAACAAAGTTTGCTCATCTAGCTCTTTCTATGTTGAGTCACCCTTTTCCTTACCTCATTCTAGTAGCTGAACTACTGTAGAAGCACTGTGTATATTTGGCACAACCCTAAAAATGCCCTGCTTGCAATCAATACCTAAATTATTCAACAAAGTTATAGCTGAATAGGCACCAACACTGCAGGCAAACTCTGAACAGTGGCCCCAGAGGAACAAGTGGTATTCAAATTACACTAACATTAAGCAGTGTTAAGCAGCTCATTCGTAACTGTACAGCCACATAATCAAGTTTAAAAGAATACAACTAAACCAGTCAGACTGCCTTACTGTTACAAAAAAACCTGTACAAAGTATGTATGCAAATTAGAATTAACAATATGAGGAAATGCCCAGAAGTGAAAATATTGGATGACGTCCCAAGTCATACCGCTTCAAGTTTCCATATCAGATGTGGAACTATGCATAATGTAATTTATTGGTTCATATGGGGTTAGTGCTTATGTATTATATGCATGTATCTGAAGTTGTGTATGCTCTATTGCAGTGGTTTTATAGTTGGTAGTGCAATTCAGAGAAATATTGCAACTCAGCATTTCGATCTTGAGGGAATTCAGATAGAGCTCTCCCTGCCATCTGGATAACTAATGGTGTAGGCAACATCTGGCTCACCAAGTTTCCATTGAAATGTAGACTACCATCAATAGTCAGAATCTTTCCAAAATAGGCTATGTAATTGATTAATCTTTGGAATATTATATTATGTTATATATGGTATTATATTATTTTGTATGTGATGCAAATAACTTATATATTAACCAGAGTCCCCTATGGGTCCAGTGTTGTTTATCTCCATGTCATACATTTCCACTTAATTGTTCATTTATTAGAAAATAGTTCAGTCCAGACCATATGGTTATATGGTCTATTCCAAATTGAGTTTTCTAGCAACTTAACATTCATCTTATTAGTACCTTGACCATTAAACAACAAAATGTACAGCCAATAAACTTTGAGTCTCAGAACTTTCCCTGTGCTATTCCCAACTTACCTTCATTTTGTGGACAGTCCTGCCCTCTTCCAGCGCCTGCGCCCAAACCGTGATGCCCCCCTTATTGTGGGTCACGTTCCAGCCGTCCTCGCGCAGACACTCAGACTTGAAGCTGGCAAATGCCTGGTCGTCTGGGATGGTCACAGCTTGACCGGACATGGCTTTTAACGGGGAGGAGGGGATTTTCTTGGCTGCAACTATTGATCGTGATAATGGGAGGTGGTGGGGGTAAAGGAAAAAAAAAAGAAAAAGAAAAAGAAAAAAAAACTAACAGAGAAAATGGAGCCTGGGTTTGTTGACGTCTCTTATCTTCCAAAAAAAAAAAAAAAACTTGTCTAATTTAATTTCCTCCCTGTGAGTTGGTTTTGTAGGCTGTACTCAGTCTTGTGATGTAGGTGTGTGCGTGCGCGCGTCCAAGCAAGCACAACAGGCACACCGCAGTCAGATCCACGTAAAACTAACCTACAGATGCGCTCTCACAGGTGGAGCGCACAACGTGAATACCAACAAGTCCAAAAAATGCCCCAGCAACAAACCAAGACGTATTCGTGAATCCTTTAGGCGGAGTTTAAGTTTGAAGCCCGGTGCAGATGAAACGACCACTCTTCCTCCTCACACTAACCATATGTTTGTGATTCGGCGCTACTCAGTCCCCGGTCCTTTACCTAGTGTAAGACTTTCCGGTGGCGTGTCCTCATCCAGTGACAGATCGTGAGCTTTTCGGTGCCTTTTGCCTCATTTACAGGAGCTCGTGTTTTTCCATCATCGCTGCGTCGCGGCTGTGGCAGGTGGCACAGAAGATGCGGTGAGAAATAGGAGGAAGAGGAGGAGGAGGGAAAAGAGGCAGGGCGGGCAGGCAGGCACCGTTCACTTGGCTACAATAGAAACGCCCCCCTCTGCTGCATTCACGTGACCCTCGTAAAACTTCAGCTGTAATGTTGCACACAGCTTTGGTGTCGTGGGTGTCACTGAGTACACTGCAAGAAGCCAGACTTGTCCGTGAATTGTGTTCTCAAAAATGTTCAAAGGCTTAACTTAATTTATATGCAAAGGAATCGTGTGTCCATTAAATACTTTTTACTAAACGAATAGCGGACCAACAGCTACTGGCTTTGAACTACCAACATTTGAAGTGGCTTTTCCATGATAAAACTATGGACATAATCAAATCAGAACCCTGTGATAAGGCAAAATTAACTTAAAAAGGCATATCTCAAAAAGGGAGATGCATTTCTGATTATGCCATTTCAGAAAATAAAAGTTTTATGTAATGTGCTTATCCTGACTCCAGTGAAAGGGAGGAGTAACACATTTTTTGATTGGTGAATATACAAAACACTGAAAAGCTGAAGCAAAAATGTTGACAAACAGCCTCAGCCCTTTATAGATGATCAAGTTATAAACCCGGATAAAACCCTATAAACCAGGGCATAGAAGGTCTAAGAATTTAAGGTTACATTCATACTTGTCCTGGTTTGAGTCTAGTTTAGTCCTGATGTAGACCTGGTTTAGTTCTGGATTTAATAAAGAAGGTTACAGATTACAGACTATTCTGTGCTAAAACATGAATATGAATGAATATCCACACTAATTAAAGGCCTATTATCTAATCATTTCTAATGAACATTTCTTTAGACATAACATTATTTAACTGAACCTAACTGGCCTCCGTTAACATCACAACAACATCAGTTTATCACTTTAGTTTCCCACTGAGATGTGCTACTTATCCACTAACACCACATAATTCACCTACTCGTTCTGCATTTTGGCTACTCTGAGCATAGACAATAAAGCCATTATAATGAGATACAACCTTTATTACACTATCTCTTTCTTGTTAGCCCTTGGCGCAACAAAACAGCTGGTGCAAATAAGTGGTCAAACTGTCAATATAGCCGGAGGTGAAACGGGAGATTGTTCAGTGAGAAATTAACACCTGAAACAGTCAATACCTAACTGGCATCTTAAAGGCAGAGTGAGCAAGGTGTTCAATGAGTCTTTTTAAATCACATAGTCACGCTTTATAAATTAAGAGCCTGGAACAAAAAAGAGAGAAGCTCAGTGCCCTTTTGTATAAAATCCAGATTTTTCAAAGCAAATAGCCTAATAAAACAATATGGGTCCTAATGGCCTGGGAGATTGCACCAGACCAGTTTAGATGCAACAGGGCTTTAGAACATGCCTGAACAAGTGGCACCCTGCAGCAATAATTAACAATACACAGAATGTTCATAAAAATATCATTGACAGAAGCAGCCTGCTCTTTGCAAATGATGTTGGGGATCTCTACCCCTATATTTGCACATTAAGTGGGGAACAAAGATCGGTTAATACCTTTTTTGTAATAGAATTATAATGTATAAAAAGTTGACATGAACTAAAGCAGCCTCAATTATAGCTGTCTCATGTTTTAAAATATCTGAGTTTTGAAAGGGCAACAAAAATATTCTACTTGGACCAATGGATGTAAGTCCTCAGTTGATATGCCAGCAAATTTATGGTCTGACATCTCATATGATTAATGTCTGCACAGTGGAGGTCCACAGGTAGAAATAAATTACCCTTACAGCCTTTTCCCGTATAGACTATAACAGAAGGACTGGGTGCCAAATGATTTATATGAGCTTATCTGAAACTGCACCGTAGCACTGAACAAAAGTGCTACTGGTTCTCCACAATCACCAGTCATCAGATAAGTATTGCAAAGGATGGTTGATAGGCTTACTTTGTTTGGCAATTTGAGTGGTTGACCTTGAGCAAGGCACAACAGCAACTGATCCAAGGAGCACTGCAAGCTGGTCTGCCCATTTCAAGAAATGTTTAAAATCAAAACTTTAAATCACCATGTTAGAAGTGTCATTTGGCATAATAACTATAAATCCACCAAATCTGAAATAACTGGTGTAATTGATGGTATGCTGACTCCTTCAGGTGATGCTACAATTCATATATTTGCTGAATTTATAATCATTTTAATCCACATTTCTGTCCTTATTTTAGACCTGATTTAGTTTAGACCTAGTGGTACTTGGAAGGCTAGATATTTTCTTAAGTGGTACTTTGAGTAAGAAGTGTTAGAACCACTGAATAACAAGACTACAAAAAATGAATTGTGTTTCTCTTGTGCCATCTGCCGACTAACTCGTGTAAAGAGCAAGTGCGCAGGGTAGCACGTTTATAGTGTCAGACCATGAGACATAGAGCTATCGTTGGCATACGATAGCTCAAAAATAAAATAAAATAAAAATAAAATGTTATATAAAAAAAAAAAAATTAAAATGACAAATTAAATGTTGCACCATCCATGGCCTACAGTGTTTGGACTGTGGGAAAAAAGGTCAATCCGAAATGTGATGTTTTATTCGGATTGATTAGCCTATTTAGACCTATTTCGGACCGTGGGATTATTTTCTTCACAAAGTTTCACCTTACATTTAAAACAAGGGTTACATTACATCATTTTGTTCTTCTTTACGTTGTAAGCAATAGAAAACGACATTTCCCAGAATGCATCGCGCGCCTTCTAGTGACATCCACTGCATCATGAAGGGAAGCGGTTCTTGTTTTGCTCTAGCTGTCCTACATTCTGTGGCTCTACAGTAGTTACACGGTCATTACAGCTTGGATTGCTTCATTCCGAAGACACATTAGGTCAACTGTAAACCCAAGGCTCGGACCAGCTCCTAATCGGTGAGTTTGTAGCCATGTTATCCTCGGTTCCCACCAGGTTGATAGCCCGAAGGTCGCGCAGTCTGTCACCGTGCAGCCGCGTGCTCCAAACAAGCGCAAGTGGAGCGACCTGTCAGAGCATCCGTGACACTCCATTTGACCCCAACCGAAACCCCGTAGTGTCCACCTCCCGAGTGTCCCGCAGGGGCATTCTGGCGGAGGAGAGCTCGGGCAACGTGAACCCCTCCGTGCAGTACCACCATCTTGCCCCCAGATGGCTCTCGAACCTGCAAAACCGCCGCAGTTCATGGGCCGCCCTGGCCAGCAGAGGGCGCAATAACAACCAGTACTGGGAAGAGAGCGGTTACGGTGGAGGTGAGGGCCACGGGACAGATGGGAGGGCCAGCCGGGCAGGACTGGCCTCAGCCGGGGTGCTTTCTGCTGCGGCCGTGGCGTTCTGCCTAAGGAAAGATTCTGATAATAAAGGTACCCTCAATAGTCTGTTAATGCATGGTTTAACATGTCTAAAAAGTAAACACTAAAAATCTCTTCTGATTCAAGGTGATTCACTGCTGGAGGCTGCAAGGACCAATAATAGTGAAGATGTTATGAGGTATGACACCTAACACATTTTAGTGCACTTATTGTCATTTTATAGTGAGTAGAGTTCTTGTCACTGTACTAATTTGTCAAACAAAAACTATTCTTATCTTTATAATAAAAATAGCTAAAATAATCTGTCATGGTTTGAAAAGATTGTTTAAGGCTGTTTGATTACAAATATAATAAAAGTATATTCAAAGCAAAAAGCAAAATTGTAGGCCTTACAGAGTACCAGCAGGTAAAATTGCAATATTTGCTTGTTTTCCTGGTATGAGCCACTAGGTGGAACCCAAGACTGACTTGTCTGAGACCATTCACATTGGCTATGTTCACATGCACGCCAAAAATCAGATTATTATCTGATTTCTGGACCTTTAAAATTATTTAAATGACATGCAAACCGCAAAATTTGAAGTGAGTATTCAGAGGGACCATTATCAGAAAGAAATTCGATGATTTTGATGTTTACATGTCATTTTTAATAGTTTTATAACTCTAAAAATCTGTTAATAATGATTATGAATGTGCATGAAACTGCAGCTAATGACTTTAAGAAATATACCATCAAAACAAAGTGCCACATGCACATAGTGTCATTTGTTTTTATAGTATTACCTAGTAAGTAAAAACTTAGTCTTTTCAGTGTTTTCTATCTATGGAAAATTGTGTGGACCATGATCTATAATAACCATAAAATATTGCATAAAATTCTGGTAATCCCACTCTCACACATAAAAGTGCACTAATGTCTGATTTCAGTGCATACCTAGGCTGCCCACACTTGGGTTAGACTACCTTCTTAGATTACCTTGTTTGCAGCAGATGGTATAGGTGAGATTGAGACAGGCTGTAGGTCATTGATGTGTTAAGTGCTTTGGTTTAGTTTGTGTTAGTAACAGAGTGTCTTCTTGAAAGTCAGTCAAAAGCACAAACCACTTTTCAACAAATTTCATCTATATTTAGAATTAGCCATTTAAAAATGTGAGAATTAGAGTGAAAGTGTTACATAAAACATTGGGTACATTTCTCTTTTTCATTGTATTCCTGTACATATATCTCTTTGATTTTCTTTCTTCATGTGATAAAGCCAAAATTCAAGTCTCTCTTTAAAGTACAAGACATTGTCTGTATTATCCCTCTGTTACCCAGGCTAAAGATAGTATATTCTCAACCTCAACCCTTGAGCTGACCAAACTTTGCAACAAGCATACTGTATAAATCCCTTCTCTTGAGCCTATCGTTCACGTAGTACAGTTCAACACCCTGTAGGTAAGTGCAGATGTGTAAGAACCCAGTGTTGTCTAAACACTGACTGCCTGCTCAATGTTAGACTCTCAGATAACTTACATTTAGAGCAGTGTTGTGGAGCTGTAGCCCCGGGCACAGGCTTCACACCTGGCTCAGGCACAGCTCTGCAGATAAGGCCTAGCTGTCACCGTCTGTGTTTATGCTGGACTGTGAGACAGACTAAACTTGATACAACAGCAATGACAGTTGGAGTATTATATTTGCATTAACACAAACCCACAAAAAACAACTAATTCCACTTTATTTTGT